ACCCTCGCCGATTCGATTTTTTCTTTAACTTCACCGTCTGAAAAAAGGGCCTTCTGAGTCTACCCCTTTCCGTTATGTCGTTCACTTTAACCAAGAAGCACAGGCCTGGAGCCCCCGTGGAACCCCGCTTGTCACGGGCCCCCACTTGAACCTGTGGACATGACTCGTTGTTTCCCCCCTTAGATATTTCTGATCCATTGCAGTCCCTTTCCTTTATGTGTGTGGTCCTCTACTTTTGAGAAACCCTTTGTGAGGAATGGTCGAACCCCTTCTTGCAGTCCAAAATACGCAGTCGATCCACCCTCTCTCTCTTTGTCTTATTTCGTCACCTTGTCATAAAATCTAGTAGGTTTTGCACAGGTTTTTTCCTTCCCTAAAAACCGTGTGGTTGTAAATTTTATCCCTTGTTTTTTTTCCCGGGTTTCCCCACCACTCTCCTCCTGATGATTTTCCCATGCCCTTTGCATACTTACACGTTAAGATCAGGCTGTAGTTTAGGCCCCATGTCTCTCCCTTTTTTTTAAAAAGGGGGACAAAACATTTCCCATTTTCCATCCCTGGGAGTTCCCAGTTTCAAATGTGTTTTTAAATTTCTTTGTTAAGGCTCACCAAATCCGCTCCTCTTTAAGGCCCATGGGATGTTGTCTGGTCCACCGCCTTTGAGGTGTAAAGTTCGCTAGCAGCTTCTTCCCCTCCCCTTGGTTTATATGTACCCACCCAGCACTGCTGGGTCCCCCCTGTTCGGGTTTTTGGGACCCCAACTGGTTTCCACTGTAAATCCCCTTTAAATCTTGTTTGAGCCCTACTCCCTCTGGGTTTTTCTTGTGAATTCCCCTCCCCTTCCTCAGTCTGTTTAAATGGTCCTTGACTGTTGTTTTCCCCCTGATGTGGCTGTACAACAGTTGGGGCAGTCTTTACTTTTGATGCTATGCATTTTCATATTTCTCTGAGCCTCCCCTTTTTATCTGTGCTATTCGTTTCTGGCTCTTCGGTGTTTCTTTTTTTTTGAGTTTCTGTCTTCTGTACCTTTTTTTTATTCTTAGTACACCTAGTTTTTGCCTCCCTAAACCTTTTTGGGGAACCAAGGGCCGTTTGTTCTTCCCATTATTTCTTTTTCCCCTTTGGGAACAAACCCCCTCGCCTCTTCATTTGTTCAAAAAGTCCAATTTCTTTTTTGGGTTTTCCTGTCAGTTCCCTCTCCCACTGAAGTTTGAAGGAATTCCTCATGCTAGTAGTTTCCCCCTTTTTTTTTGGTTTTTCCCACTTTTTCCTGCTACTCTCTCCACTTTTGGGGCCAACTATGAGTCGAAGCACAGAACCACATGTCACTAGTCCCAGGGGCCTTTATACGATACCCTCGATGTCCGAACTACATGGGGAAAAGGTCCCAACCTTTCTGGTTTTTCCTCCCTCTCTCTTGGTGTGCTCTAAATTTGGCATGAGGTTTTCCCTACCCCAAACCTCATCTTGGCTCCCATGTTTTGGGACCCCCATGGGGGTCCGGTTTTTCCCCGTCAAACTCCCTGTGATTGAAAAACCCTAACTAGTAACTTTTTTCCCCCCCATGTGTGCTCTCCCGGGGCCCCTCGGCTAGTGTTTGATCATTGCTTGTTGCTTCATGTATTCTTCTTTTTGGGCCCCCGGGCGTGGTTTGTACATTACTGCAAAAATACCTTATTCCCTCAGACTGGATTGTTCCTCAAAATAGCCCCTTTCGCCCATGCCATCCATTCCTTCCATTTTCTCAAAACCCCACTGGTTTTTAATGAGCAATGCAACTCCTCCCCCCCCTCTCCTCCCTCTGTTTTTTCCTGAAGATTTGTATCCGGATGGAAAGATTGAATCTGTTATTATTCTGGTGAGTTTTGTTTCTGTTGGTGCTATTATGTCTGGGGATGTCTCTTTGATTCTTTCGTGCCACTCCTCTACTTGTTTGTTATTCCATCTGCATTTGTATACCACACCTTCAACTTCTTTTCTAAGACTGTGGTCTGGGAAGTATATTGGGGTTGGGGAAGTGGGAGACCTGGTAAGGAACTATGGGTTGTTGCTGTGGGGGTGAAGTTTGTAATGATAGTGGGTGGGGGCATTGGATGGGGCATGGGTGTTTTTGTTTTAGAGTGTTTGGTTGCACTGGGGTTGACCTGGTTGGGAGGCTTCTATAGAAAGTTGTGGGGGAGGCTGTATTAGATCTTCTTCCGGGGTTTCTGGGATCCCCTGTCTGTCTTCTCCATCCCCTCTCTTTCCTCCTTTCGCCTTTGTACCATCTCTTCAGTTTTTCCTTTCTTCTTGTGTTCTGTCGCGGTCGAGATACACCCTCCTGTATGCCGTCATGTCCCTTAATGTGCTTTCTCCTCCCAGTAATCCTGGTCGAGTCGCTTCTGGCGGGTTTTTTTTTTACAACCCCCTATTCTCCGAAAATTTTCCAGCTGGGTCATATCGTCTTCTCCTATTGCTTTCATGATGCTTTCAATTGCTTTTTTTTCCCCTTGTTTTCTTGCTTCATATTGTTTCCCCTTCGACTTCCTGGAGCCCATACAAAAAAGACTGACCTCACCCTTTCATTCTCCCACTGCATATCCCTGGTATCCCCTCATTTAATTTGGTTTCCTCCACTGCAGCTTTCCTTTCATCAGTTTCACTGGCTAATGTACTTGGGCTCAGTGGCCTGTCATTTTCCCTTCTCGGCTTTCCTTGGGCTCTGTTGTTGTCTGTTAGGGCCTCCACATAAAGCTTAGCTCTTTCATTTGCTACAGTCTCCTCTGATAGAGCATCTCCATGCAGTTGTGCCCCTTCTTTCCCTACAGTCCCCTTATTTGTGGCTGAGGTAGCAGTCTCTGTTGTCAATCCCAAAATGTTCTTTAGTTCTTTAGGCTGTTTCAGATTTTTCAGTTCCTCTTCTAAACTCTGTATCCTAGCTTCTGCTGCTTTGACATGCACCTCCCACTTCCTGCTGTGAGACCTCTACCCACTCTACCGGAGGTATCCCAGCGAGTGAGCACGTCCCCTGTATATCCCAGTGCTTAACAAGCTAGGGAATAGCATATGAAGGTACAAATAAAAATGGGAACTATGGCTATAGTTTACTTAATAACATAAAAGGGCTAGAATACAACATCTCCTGATGGAAATTTACACAATATAACAATTGACCTATGAGACTTATTACCAGGGGGAAGGGTAGATGTTATCAGTAACACGGACTAGTACTCACTCTTAATTCACCGACCAGCTGACCCGAGATTCCCAATGCGTGGTCCACTACACACGCGGCTGTCCAGAGCTCTCGCTCGACGGACCTGTCACCAACAACCCCCTTGCCCCGCTCTTCCCTGGGCTTATATCGTAGTCAAAGTACCCCCTCCCCAATGGTGTATGTACCACGTGTTGCGACCTGACGCCGAGCTCTGACGCTGTTAAGAACAAAAGACCTCAGACGTGGGCGTGGCTACAGACGTCTGCCAAGGCAAGGTGTGACCATATAATTGGTCAAATTAGGTCTCCCCAGAGACCTCACAAGCCCAGCTGGACTACATCACACTGCTTTCCATATCTATCCTCTCTTCCATTCTCATGCTAAGTTCTTCTAGTTTCTTTTCCCATTCATGATCCCTTTTTATGAGTTCTGCTGCCCAATCTTCCTTTGCATTTTCCTCCTCCTGTCCCTTGGTTTTTCTTGTTGCTCTCTGGCAACCCATTTTTGTTTTATCCTGATTGCCTCAGAGTGGGAAACCTATGTAGTTCTGTATGTTAGGTTAGTAGTGTGTGTGTCAGAGTGTGGGGGGGGGAAGTAGTGGAGGAACTGTGGCTATTTGGGAGCTGAGTGGGGAGGGGTGGGGAGGGTTTGGGGTGAACGGGGGAGGGGAGGGTGATCGAGGGAGGGGATGGATCAGGGAGAGTAGTGAGATGTCGGTGGTGAGGGGGGGGAGTGTGTGTGTGTCTGGATATGTGTGTGTGTGTGTGTGTGTGTGGGTGTGTGTGTGGTGTGTGTGTGTGTGTGTGTGTGTGTGGTGTGTGAAATTTTGTGTTAATTGGGGGAATTAGTGGGG